TCTTGGGCCGGCTGAGGCTATCTCCTCCTCTCCCTTCCTTCCTCTCTCCTCCGTGCCCCCTCTTCTCCAGGGCCGGAACATGTTCAATGAAATGCAACACAACGCATTGCAACGCAACGCATCGGAACGCACTGCAATACAATACGATGCAGTGCAACTCAGGGCGCTTTAACTTAATGCGCGTCTCGTCACCCGTCAGCGCTGCGGGGGCCCCCCAACAAACAAGCACCCCGCCCCACTCGTCACATGGCAATGCCTGGGCGGGCGATAAGATAGAATTCGCGTGGCAGCGCCGCGGGGTCCGAATACAAATACTACCCCACTCTTCCTCGCCATGTGCAGAGTAAATACAGATAAGTCTTGCGCACCTAATGGCGCTCCACTTCGTGCCTCGAGGCGCGTTGGCGGACTATGCCACGACGACGACAACGACGACGACGGAGATGAGATGAGCCAGAGGAGCGAACAAATTTACTCCTCATCGTCCTTCTGCCTTCCCCCTCCTCCATCCTCCTTCTTCCCTCCCCGCTTCCACCTCCCCCCCCTTCCTCACTCCTCTTCCTTCCTCCCCTCCTCTCTACCTTCCTCTGTTCTCCTCCTTCCCTGTCTTCCCGTGCAGCCCCTCGCACGCAACCCACTGCAACGCAAACTACTGCAAATACAAATGCAGCCGATGCAATGCAACAGGATGCATCGCAACACCATGCAATGCGATGCATTCCAACGCCCAACGCAACACAATGCAATGCATCGCAGCACAATGCAATGCAATGCACTGCAAAGCCAAACAACGCATTGCAACGCAATGCAATGCAATCCAATGCAATGCAATGCCTCCCCCCTTCTCCCTGCTCCGGGGCCAGAGGAAAATTTTGAACCCCCAACGCCCAGACCTCACCCCCCTTCCAGGGCCAGAAGAAAGTGATTGAGCCCCCAACGCCCAGGCCCTCAGACGGCGTCCACCAGCCAATGTGGCACACCCCGCAGATGGATCGTGCCCCCAGGGCCTGGAACATGTTTTGTGAACCCACGCAACAATTTGTCTTGGGCCCCACTTAAGTTTTCTTGAACCTCCCTTTTTTTGAATGTGTTGATCCCCCATCCCTCTTTGCTCCATCCCTCCGAAGGGCGGCACCTCGTCAGCGCCGCCGTGCCTCCGCAGCCGCCCTGGCCCAAGTACACTCCCTGTGCACATTCTCTTTGTTCTGATCGAGGATCCCCGCTTTTGATAGCGCGCCCGCGCGCCAGGTTTCTCGAGGCCTCGTCTTCCGGGGAAGAACACACGCCATAAACACAATTTTTTGGCGCTCCGCGCGGATGTCTCGGATCCGCGCTGGGCCCCCCCTTCCAGCGGCGCCTCCGGCGCCGCCCCTGGCATGCTCCGCGCGCCAGTGAGGGGGTCCCAGCACGGATCCAAGACATCCGCGCGGAGCGCCAAAAGTTTTGTTGATATTGCTTTTCCTGCTTCTACTTCCTCCTCCTCCTCCGCTTCCTCCTCCTCCTCCTCCTCCTCCTCCTCCTCCTCCTCCTCCTCCTCCTCCCCCTCCTCCTCCTCCTCCTCCTCCTCCTCCTCCTCCTCCTCCTCCTCCTCCTCCTCCCCTCCTCCTCCTCCTCCTCCTCCTCCTCCTCCTCCTCCTCCTCCCTCCCCTCCTCCTCCTCCTCCTCCTCCCTCCTCCTCCTCCTCCTCCCTCCTCCTCCTCCTCCTCCTCCTCCTCCCCCTCCTCCTCCTCCCTCCTCCTCCCCTCCCTCCGCCGCCTCCCCCTCCCCCTCCTCCTCCTCCTCCTCCTCCCTCCTCCTCCTCCTCCTCCTCCTCCTCCTCCTCCTCCTCCTCCTCCTCCCTCCTCCTCCTCCTCCTCCTCCTCCTCCTCCTCCTCCTCCTCTCCTCCTCCTCCTCCTCCTCCTCTCCTCCTCCTCCTCCTCCTCCTCCTCCTCCTCCTCCTCTTACTCCTCCTCCTCCTCCCCCTCCCCCTCCCCCTCCTCCTCCTCTCCTCCTCCTCCTCCTCCTCCTCCTCCTCCTCCTCCTCCTCCTCCTCATTCTCCTCCCCCTCCTCCTCCTCCTCCTCCTCCTCCTCCTCCTCCCTCCTCCTCCTCCTCCTGCTCCTCCCCCTCATCCTCCCCCTCATCCTCTCCGCAGGCCGACCATGCAGCGCTCGCTCGCGGCCGCGGCCGCGTGGTCCGCCCTCGTGGCCGGGGCCGCGGCGCTGGCGCGCCACGAGCTGGCCCCGAGGGCGGGCCACGAGCTTGCGCCCGCGGCGGACGTCGAGCTGGCCACCGCGGCGGGCATCGACCTGGGCCCGGCGGCGGAGGCGCGCGCCGCGGAGCTGGAGCTCGGCGAGGATCGGCGGGGTAGACCCTGGTTTTTCGGATTTGAAAAACAAAGCGGCGAGGATCGGCGGGGGGGACCCTGGTTTTTCGGATTGTTTTAAAAAGAGGATGCTTGGATTCAGAAAGCGGGTCTTGGAAACCAAAAGATTGGTGTGTGAGTTTAAGAAACTGGTGTTTAGGATTTGGAAAAAAAGCTGGTGCTTGGATTCGGAAAGCGGGTCGTGGAATTCCCGCAAAATTGATGCTTGAGTTTCAAAGATTGTTTTGTCAACTCAAACAACTGATGTTTGAGTTCAAACAGCTGGTTTGGGAATTCCAAAAACTGATGTTTGAGTTCAAGAACTGGTCTTTGAATACAAACAGCTGGTGTTTGAATTCAAAACTGCTTTTCTGAATTCAAAAGCCGGTGCCCATGCAGGGGAGGCCCATGCCACGGAGCACCCTGCTTGCCTCCAGGGTGCCCCGGGGTGTGTCTCTCGGTTTCCCATGGTTTTGCGACGGAGAGCGCGACGTTTCCGCACCAACAGCCCAGGGGCGTCCTTGGGTCTCAGGGTTGAGTTTCTTGTGGAAGGATTCTTGTGACAGGGCCACTACTGTAAGGTAGGTTCATGCGGCGATGGCGCGCCGGGGACGCGGGCGAAGGCGTTCAAGGTGTAGCTCCGCATGATGGAACGATGCGGAAGCACTGAGGGGCACGGTAACGCCACAGGACCCGATGGAGTTCAACTTTGAACGATCGGGGCCGCGATCGGTTCAAGGTTGAACGATCGAAATGGGGCAAACAAAAACCTGGGTGCGCTCCGATGCCGCGCGAACTAACCGTACCGCTACTCTCGCCCTGTTTTCACCTTTTTGGGGCCTCCTCGGAGGCCCTCGTCGCCACCGTTGGATTCGCCCCTAAATTCTGGTCAGAACTCACCATGGGATTATGATGTTCCTACTTACTTTAGCCTTGATCACTAGAAAGAATTCCGAGCACCAAGAAAGTACCCAAACTTAAGGGTTTTCGCGTGTCGGGCCCGGGAAAGCGATACTCGTTCCGATATTTTCTTGGTGCGCGTAATTATTAATGGATCCGGTCATTAAGTACGATGGGACTTACATAACCCTGGGAGAGGACTCGGGAGGAGTAGTGTGGCTGCCTCAGAGGAGCCGCCTTGGGGGCGGGTCACCCCGCAGCACTCCCACTCGGTGCTCAAGGGGCTCGTGGCCGAGGACGGGGTGGATGAGCTCAAGAGGTCGGGCGACGAAACCAACACACATCCACTCCTCCCTGTCCAGGCCCATCCTGAACCAAGGCGCTGTGTATGCGCCCTCCTGGCCAGGCCAGGAAGGCGTGGCGTATTCACTGCTGCTGGGTTCAGGATGTGCCTGGCCAGGGGGCAGTGGATACGGCAGAGGGAAACAATTACTGAACACTTCCCCTCCCCCCCCAAACTCGCAGTTGGCACGCGCGGGGGAGACTGCGGTCGAGGTGTAACTCATCAGACCCACCGCCAACCTTGCACACTGGGGGGAGGGGGGGGCGTTAGATGAATGTGGCATGAGTGCTCGCTATTTCATGATTTTTTCATGACGTCGACCCCCAGGCGTCTCGAGCCATTCCCCAGGACCTGTTTTTCATCCTTTTTTGGACTGTCCCGCGGCCCGGTGAAGGCTCCCAGAGGCCGAGAGTAGCAAAAAACCTCGCGTCGTGATTTTTGTCATGACTCGAGGGGGTCTGGGTGTACAGAGTTCGTCGCCCTCAAGAGGGCGGAGCTGCTCGACGGCCAGCTCGACCCGGCGGCGCTGGTGATCGAGGACGCGGCGCCGCAGCCGCGGGCGGAACTGCGCCTGCCGGCGCCCCCGGGGCAGGTGGGCGTGTGCGCCGGCACGGCGGTCTACGATGGGCCCAGCATGGGCTGGGAGGACTGCCGCACGAGGTTCGAAGCTGAAGAACATGAATAAGAAGAAGGCGAATAATAACATTAATCATACGAGTAATAACATTTATAAGAATAATACTAATAGTGATAATAATACTAATAATAGTAATGATAGTAATAATAGCAAGAAGTTTTAGTATGAGTAATCATAATCTGATTAATAATGCTACTGAAAGTAAGAGTAATGATCATAAGAATAAGAAGAGGAATAAGCAGAGGAAGCATATACATCAGCACAAGCACAATCATGAAAACGCTCATCGTACAAGTAATAAGGATCATCGGCACAAGCATGGACGTTCGAAGGTCCGCGCGGATTTCTTGGATCTGCGCTGGAATGCCCCTGTCGCGCGGAGCGCACCGAAGAGGGGGTCCAGCGCCGATCCAGGAAATCCGCGCGGACCTTCGAAAGTTTCTGGTCATGCGGTATTGTGTGTCCTTCTGGAGGTGCCTCGGCCACGAGCACTGCAGGTTCTGGAGCTTCTGGCCCGACTCGGCGCAGCAGCGGTGCAAGCTCACCCTGGACTGCAGCCGGCGCGAGCGTGATGGCCACCGCAGCGTCAGCGCATACAGGAGGGCGCTGGACGCGGCGGGCGAGGAAGAGAGCAGGCAGCAGGCTGCCTGGGACAATGGGGAGACGCCGCTCGACCCAGAACCGCAGGAGGCGGCCCCTCAGCCACAGGAGGCGGCCACGCCGCGCGCCGCACCGGTGGCCGACCAGATGACCTGCTCGCCGCAGGGCTCGGCCCGCAAGTTCGCCGTGTCGCCGCAGAGCGGGTGGCACAACCTCGGCAAGGCGCGCTCGTACGCCAGCTGCGCGAACACCTCGCTGTCGATGGGCTACGGGAACGTCGTCTGGAACGCCGGCTCGAGCGCCAAGGGCCGCTGCTACGGCTTCTCCAGCGACATGCCCGACGTCCTCGAGCGCAACTGCGAGGAGACCTACTGCTGGCTCTTCGGCACCGCGTCGCCGGCGTGCAAGGACCAGAGCCTCATGGCCGGGACCGCCGATGCAGAGGACGACAAGCTTTTTGGGGCTGGTCCCCAGGCAGCGACGGAGAGCACGAAGGTGGAGACTGCTGGGGCTTCCAGAGGAAAACCGCCCACATCCCCATCATTGGCCTTTGCTAAACGGCCCTGGGCGTTTGTACTACACAGCCCCGTCCTGCTCATTGCCCTTGAGTGCACTTACTGAACGAGTTCGCTTGTTGGGGTGCTTGCTATGAGGGTGTCGCTTTTGCGTTCTATTGAGGTAAAATTCAACAGCAAATCGTGGGAGCCTAATAAAACATCGCAGTTCCGTCTTCGAGTGTATTAGCTTGCGTTAGACAGCGCCGGGTAGTAGTCGACGAGACAGCGCTGATTTAGCGTCGGGTAGCGTCGATTTCGCGTCGACTAGCGTGGACTTAGCGTCGGCTAGCGCCGATTCGCAAGAGCCAGCAGGATGGTATGCGAGGCTCCCATGAGTTGCCACCTCAGGTGAAGGACCCCGTCGACCATGACATCGAGGAAATGATGGAGAGCGTACAGACGCAGACTGCCAGTCCCGAGCCGCAGGAGCCTGGGGGAACGGAGGAGGGGGAGGGGGAGAGATAACTAGGGGCAGGGAGGAGAAGGGAGGAGGAGGAGGAGGAGGAGGAGGAGGAGGAGGAGGAGGAGGAGGAGGAGGGAGAGAATGTGGAGGAGGAGGAGGAGGAGGAGGAGGAGGAGGAGAAGGAGGAGGAGGAGGAGGAGGAGGAGGAGGAGGAGGAGGATCGGCTTAGGGGGAGCGTGTGGACTCCTGATCGCCCATTCGTCGCCGGATATGGGGGCCCTACAGCACGCCCCGCCCGGGAACATGCGGAGTCGCACTCGGGGGCCCATCGCCGATCCATGGGCGATGTGTCGCCGATTCAGGGTCGATGATTCCCCCCCCCGACTCAGCCTCCCCCTATCGTTGACCCTCCCTCTTGAGTGTGGGGAGCGGGTAATGACAGAAGCAGAGAAAAGCTCGGAGGTCCGCGCGGGTCTCTCTCGGATCGGCGCTGGGGCCCCCCATCCAGCGGCGTCGCCAGCGCCGCCCCTGGCGCGCTCCGCGCGCCAGGGAGGGGGGGTCCGGCGCGCGGATCCGAGAGATCCGCGCCGACCTCTGAGTTTTTCTGCGTGTGCCAATTGCCTGCCCCGCGTTCGCTTCCAGGGAAGACCAAGTCATACCACGCGCCTCGCCTCCTCGTCAAGCGACCTCACCAGTACAGGCCGTAGTTTGGCATCGCGTGGTATCTCTCGGAAGCGAGGGTGGTCAAACGCGAGGCAGGTTTGTTTCCCCCCCTAAGATGTTTCGGTCCCCTGGGAATGTCCGCGCGGAGCTCATTTGGGTCGGCGCTGAGCTCCCCGGCGCTGCGCCGCCGTCGCCGCCCCCGGCGCGCGCCGGGCGGCGGGGGCTCCGGCGCCGACCTATAGGAGCTCCGCGCGAGCAGCTCTTCGGGCGCGCCCGCCCGTGCCGATGCCCGCACCAATCCATAGGGGAGCACCTGCGAAGCCCACCCCCGCCCCCCACGATGTCCGAAGGGGGGGGGGGGGATGGGGTTAACACTTCGCTCGGGAGCTCCCGAGCGAAAAGTGCCCCCCCCCCCCCCCCCCTCCCCCTCAGAAATTCCGTTCGGGGGGTGGGGTGGCTGGGCTCCGCACGCGGTCCCCGGTGCTCCAGGCGCCGGCGGGCGAGAAGCCCAAGGGAGCCCTGCAGAAGATCCGGGACCTCTTCCACGTCCGGTGAGGGCCCGTCCGCAGAGGGCCTCGCCGCCCCGACGGCCATAGGGGGGTCGAGCGAGACCGCTCGCTCCCCGCGCCCTGCGGCCTCCCCCCCCCCCCCGGCCTCCTCCTCGCCATCGGCTCGGGCCTCGCCCCTCTCGGGGGAGGGGGGGTCGGGTTCCTCCCTGCGTGCTCCCCGCGGGGAAGATGGGGCCCGGATCTGCGGCGGTCTCTGTTTCTCCCAGCCCTCCTGCGCTGGGTGCCCGTTTTGGACAGAGCGCTGTGGTCCCCACTTCTCCTCCTCCCCCGGCCCCCCCCCCCCCCTGCCTCCTGCCTCCTGCCTCCTACTTCACCTGCCTCCTGCCTCCTCTCTCTCTTCTCTTCTTCCTCCCTTCTCTCCTCAATCCTGCATGCGGGGCCTGGCCACTTTCGTGCGGGGCTCGCCCTGTCTACACTCTCGTGGGCTCCCGGGAGGTCCAGCGGATTCGGCAGTCCCGCACACCACGTCGAGACCTCGCGGCCCCCTGCGTGGCTGCGGCTTGCGCAACTGGCGCCACTCTCGTGAGCTCCTGGGAGGTCCAGCGGAGGGGAGTGGTACGCGGACCCAGTTGGGACCTCGCGGCTCCCAGGGGGTTGCGATTGGCGCAATTGTCGCCACTTTCGTGGGCTCATTGCACGTCCAGCGGAGTGGAGTGGTACGCGGCCTCAGTTGGGACCTCGCGGCTCCCTGCGTGGCTGCGAGCTGCGCAATTGTCGCCATTTTCGTGGGCTCCTGGGTGATCGCGCGGAGTGGAGTTGTATGGGAATCCACTTGGGACCTCGCGGGCGAAGTGCGAAACCGTAGCCACTTTCGTGGGATCCTGGGAGGTCGCGACGAGAAATGCAATTGACGACAAGTACTCGCATACATTTGGCAGGGGTTCCATGGCGCGCGGCGCTGTCCCGTCACGCATAGTTCGGCGCTGATGCATCGTAGCTCGCAGGGAGCCGCCGTGCCATGCAGCGCATGGTGCTGTTTTTGTTCCGCGTGGCCTTCCGTCCTTTGCTGCCGTTGGCCCGCCATGCCGCCCCGCGCGGTTGCCTCGCTCAGCGCGACGCGCTGTTCTGTTATAGAGCGAGCGCATGGCGCTGTTCTTTCCCGCGAATGTAGCGCTCGGACTTCACACCCGTCTGTATGTTTATGTCTCCGTCTCTATGCTGCTTATTCCTGCATGCGTCCTTGCCTACTCCTGGGAGCTCATGCGCACTGCGGGCCCTTCAGCGTGCTTGCTCGCAGTAAACCGTTCTATGTATTCACATTGGAAATGTTTATCGATGTGTATACGTATGGTTGTACATACCTATATATATATATATATATGTATATATATATATATATATATAGATGTTTATAGTTGTAGTTACACACATGTATATATACATATAAGTCCATGTCTTCGGCATCTGGTAATAAAAAGGGTTGGGTGCGTCACTTGGTAATCTCCAATCCTGGCGTCCTTGCTTGATCTCGGAATCTGGTGGCCGAACGATATCAGGCCCCCCCGGCGATCGAAAACGGATCGGGGACCAACAGCTTCCTGGGAAAGGGGTCGGGCGACCTGGGGCCGCGCAGTCAACCAAATCGCATCGTCGGATGTCTGGGAAGATACCGATGCCGCTGCCACGGGCCTCTCCAGTGTGATGTGCTCTGGCCAGAGGCGAGTCTGGCTGTGGCGACGAGGAGGGTGATCGGCATGTCCTCCTCCTCTGATCATCGTTCCTCCCACCCCGCCCTCTGTTTTTTTCTACACTTTTCCTGCTCCTCTTTCTTTTCTGATCCCCCTTCCTGGCGGAGGCCAGTGCGCCCGGGGTCCCCTGGCCCCTGTCGGCGGGGTCGCCCACCCGGGCAGGGGAGCGTTCCAGAGTGGCCGCCTGCTGGGCGCTTTCGAGACGGTCGCCATTAATCGTCATCGTCATTGTCATCGCCATCGTCAGGGCTCGCCATCACGGGGTTCGCCATCTCAACAAGAAGCTTCTGGCCTCGCCATCGCAGAGGCTCGGGCAGAGGCTTCGGAACGTCCGCGCGGATGTCTTGGGTCGGCGCTGGACCTCCCTCCTGGCGCGCGCAGCCCGCCAGGGGTGGCGTCAGAGGCGCCGCTGGGCTGGGGGGCCCAGCGACGACCCGAGAAACTTGCTCCGTCCTGGCAGTTGTTGCGCCTATCCCCGCGCACGAGGCCCGGGCGCCCAGGGCCCGAGCCTCGAGCGCGCACGGGAGGACGGGGGCCTCCGATAGACCGCTCCCCAGGCACCGCGGAGAGGCCGTGGAGCCCCCCGGACTGCCCCGGAGGAGCTCCGAGAAGCTCCCGGAAGGCCCCCCGGGGGACTGCGACGAGCCCCGTCCAAGGCAGCCCAGAGAGCCCCAACGCGGCCAAGAGGGGCTCCAGACCGCTCCGCAGCCATTTTTGGCTCAAGCCATCTGGGCGCTGAGGGCGCTTGGCAGCGGCATCGGGGTGTGCACACACGCCGTTCTCGGACAATGCGTTCCTGTGGCAGGGTCGTTGCGATGGTCTGTGGGGCAGGCCCCGACAATCCCAAGAAGGAGCAGGGGGTCATGTTTACGAAGGCGGCCTCCGACGAGGCCAGCATGCCTCGCGCTTCGGCCCTGCGGGGGCGCAGGGCAGCGTTTCCCAATGTGACCTGGGCGGGCGTACCGTCGGTAGCTCGACAGCGTGGACGGGAGGGGCAGTTGGCAAGTCCTGCCAGATCATCTCAGGTGTGAGCGCGTGACCAAGAACTTCGCCAACTTTGAGCGGATTGGCAGTGGCTCTTCCAGTGTGGTCTGCCGTGCGCGACGACTCCGTGACAGTCGAAGGGTCGTCATCAAGGCAATGCGCCGCTCGGGTACAGGCGAAACGTCGCTTGCGAAGCGGGAGTTCGATCTCGCCAGCGGGCTGAAGCATCCCAACATCATCGTCGCCCTAGATGTCGTGGAATCGCCATCGCGTGTGGCGCTGGTGCTGGAGGACATCGCGGGCCGCAGTCTGCGTTCGGTGGTGCGCTCCGCCTGGACGGGCCGAGCACAATGCGCCTGTTCGTCCAATCGGCTGCCGCCTTAGACTACCTGCGTGGCAGGAGCATCGTTCACCGCGACCTGAAGCCCGCGAACTGCCTCCTGCTGGACCACGTGGTGGTGGCCAGCAACATCCAGCCCCTGCTCGAGATCATCGGGCAGACCTCGACGATCTTCAAGAGCATGGCGGAGGTAGACGACCCTATCGCGTTCACGGTGATGGGGGAGACGAATAGGATCATTCAATGCAAGGATACATCCTCGAAGAGCGACGTCATGACCATGAAGACAGAGCCCGAGGTATGCAAGTACTGCGTCTCCAGCGAGACAGCTTCAGGGGAGAAGCGTGAACCTTCCTACACAACAATTCCATGGTGGGGGACAAGCTCAGTGTTTTTACTGACGACTATCTTCTTCTTGATGTGGGGCATCAAGTGCATCGTTTCAAGTATCATGACAATGGGAATCATGATGATTTCGAACCTTGACTACAGTTACAGTATCTCAGAGATACCGTGTGCTGGTTCAGATTTTGACATGGGCAATCTCGACATTGAGGTTGACAATTTTGACTACGATCTCACGTTCGGGATGATCATTCGCTACATCATTACGACAATGGGTATCAAGATGATGGTGAACCTTGACTACACAGATAGTATCTCAGAGATACCTTGTGCAGGTTCAGATTTTGACAGGGGCAACTTCTTCAGTGAGGTTGGCAATTTTGAGTATGCTCTTATCGATGAGACGATGTGCAGCAATTTCATTACGACAATGAATCGGATCGGTTCAAGTTTTGGCAGGTCAAACTATCATACAGAGTCAGGCATCAGGACTCACATGACGGGCATCATCTGGATTCAGAAGACGAACGACCACGCGAACATCGGGGACGACTATTGCACTATGAGGGAGAGTCAAGGGCAGCCACAGCTCATGTCTCTTCCTCACTGGGCAGGTGTTAACCTGGAGGCTACAACAGCCTGGGAGATGGACGGCACAACTCCCACCGACGAGTGCATCCCTCCCACTCCTTCCAACGACGGGCCACACAATGGCCGCACCAACTGCGATATAAGGGAGAACCAAGGGCGGCCATGGCCTGTGGATCTCTCTGACTGGACAGGTGTTAACCTGGAGGCTACAAATGCCTGGGAGACGGATGCCGAGCTGAGGCCCATCCCTCCCACTCTCTCCAATGACGGCTCCTCCTGCATCTCATGGACAGTGGCTCGGATCCCATGGTGCCGCAAGGTCAAGAACGCCAGATCTCACCAGACGCAGCAGGACGCTCAATCCCAATACCACGCCGAACATGGCAACACTCCACCGGCACGCAGGTCAGGTTTCGCACCGAAGACAGGATCAGCTGCTCGGATCACTGCCAACACTCGGACAGTCAATATCATGTGTGCTGCCACTGCGACGACACTCACGGACAAACAAAAGAAGCAGTTGGCCAGCGACTCCAAACAATTCAGCATGATATACAAACTTTTCTCGACGGACTTCGATTCCAAGAAGGCCGAGATCAAAGCTAAACTGAACGAATGGTCACAGGACAACCCTCCACGAGGAGACGACGGCCAACCATCGACAAAGCGACCCAAAAAGAAGAAGATCTCGACAACACACAACGGGGACAAACCACCACCGAACGAGAGACTCCACGAGAGCGGCCTCCGACTGCGGAACATGTGGGAACTCCCCGTCCTAGACGATCCACCGACATCAGAGTCCAGCGGGATCTACTTAGCGAAGTCCGACGCAGATGTCATCAATATAATGGAATGGATCGATAAGAATAATACGGATTATCCCAATTACGTGGCTCTATCGGTCTCAACTCCGTCTGAATGCTTGAAAGCAGCGGCTATTGCGTACAATATCAAGCCTGTGCCATATCAGCTTCCAGTAACCAAGGAGACCACGAACAGTGATGGAACAACCAAGCCGATCGTGGGCACTCGAGATGGTTACCTGTGGAGCATCCCACCCACTCTCAGCGACGACCCCCTGGAACCTCCAAAGTACCGAGCCGCGGCACCTGCAGCTCCAGCATGGTCCAAAGGATTCACCAACTCGATCGCTGTAATATCAGAAATACATGCAGATGAGATCTACAAGACCCTTCTCAAACAACACAAGCTTGGCTCTTCGTCTTTGGACAAATTGAGAAATCATGTCAATGAGTTAGACGCTGAGGCTAAGAAACACAATTGGAAAGTGGTACGAGCTGCCAAACAGGAGGCTAAGGACTTCCTCCAAGCACACATCACGAAGGTCTACTCGGCAGCTACAGCAACAGACCTGGACATCACGATCAACTCCATCAAGCAATATGACGGAGCTGCCAAAGGACAGGCTTCGCTACGCATCGACGTGACGACCACAACCTCAATGGCACGCACTCCTCGACAATCCTCAGGTACTGACGGGATCTTCTTTGACACGGCAGGGTATGATGAGATTGGCAAGACTCGCGAGCGCACAACGGAGACCTGGATTCCACTACGGGCGAAACAGACAGGACACTGGACGACACAGGAGGCCCATGAGGAACTGGACAAAATATCGGAGCCCACGTACGGAATGAAACTGTGCCGAGATGGGGTGACTGTCAAATTGAGAATACGGAAAGAAGACACTACTGCAGGGTGGCAGCTCATCAGGAAAGAGGACGCCCCGCCAACAGACCGATATCTTCTCGACAAGATACCCGCTGGGACACCGACAGAGGCTATTCCAAAGATACTTCTGGAGACCCTGTCTTGGGTCGTGCAGTATCCTTCGGCACAGCGGAGAGGGAAATATCTACGAATAACAGTTAAGGCCCAT